GCATCCGTTCCTAACTTTGTAAATTTTAAAAATCAACGGACATGAGGCAGCAGTTTTACATAGCATCGTTCTCTTTTTTCTTTGGAGCAAGACGGTCATGTGTACACAGTTTCCAGCATCTGTCATTTTCATTTGTTTTTTCATGTTCGTCTTCAAATTGAACAATTTCAACACGTTCTGTGTTTGGCACCGCATGCGATCTTCTGTGGTAAGTATCGTTCTGTAACATTTGTCGATGACATATTTATCATTATTCTCTCCTAGTCTAGGATGACACGAGTTAAAACTTTGACTGTTTGTCTGTTTACCTGCGTTGCTGCACGGTGATGGTTGGGTCAACGCTCAGCGTTCCCATTAATGGTAGCAGACTCAGCGTTGTCTATGGTGAAAGGTGACTTCTGTGAGTAGGTTAGCGGTAGTACTGTGTGTGTGCGGTATCACATTTGTTATTTTTATTGTATTTAAATAGTTACCTACAGATCCCAGCACCAAGCACCCCATAACCCATAACCTCACCACAAAGGATTAATTATATTACTGTTACATGTTTTATTATCTGAGCTATCAAGCCAGAGTTTTTATTTTATAGTTTCACTGTTTATATTGTTAATTAGTATTTGTGTTGTCAAGCCAAATTCATTGTATTGTAATTATCTGTGCCATCAGGCCAGACATAATTCTTACATTTGTTTATATTGTTATTTAGTATTTGTGCTGTCAAGCCAAATTCATTGTATTGTAATTATCTGTGCCATCAGGCCAGACATAATACTTACATTTGTTTATATTGTTAATTATTATCTGTGCTGTCAGGCCAGAAACATTATTTATTTAAACTATTTCTATTTGTGCAATCAGGCAAAATTTGTATTATTTATTTAAATAAAAGAAAGTAAATTAAATGCCATCTAGTTTATATAACAACAACATCAGCGTAAAATTTATCTCAACAAATACAGTCCACTAAACCGCTTACCAAAGACCGCCTGATAAGCTCTTTGGCCTTAACAGGTGGCATAGCATAATCATTATATGTAGAGCCTTAGTATTAAAACAGTATAACCAGAAGGGGCACCTTTTGAGTTTAGCATGGGTTCTATGGGGCACATATTGGCAACACCTGTTAGAATATCAGTGCTACTGGTAGAAAGTTAATCACATTATTATTTGTTTCTTGCAAGAGCCTTATTCCGAACAAAGGCAATTAACTTTAGCCTAACAAACTTGTAAGTTGTAAAATAAAGTAAAACATTATCAAATCAGTGTGATCAGACGACAAGAATTTTACATTTTTGTTATATACAAATTTATATTACAACAAATTGAACAAATTTTTGAATGCTCAGCAAGGGCTCTTTCTGGTTATTCTGTGGTATTACTATCTTAAATCGTGCACGTAACACACCCTGCAGATAAAAAAATGGTCACTGATAAGTGATAACACGTCGGACGATATTTGACATTTCGTACTCGACGACAATCCAACAATGGCTCAAGGCAGTGGTGCTAGCTACGAGCCTATGGAAATCGCAGTGACATTGAGCCTATACAACGGCCAATATTTTGTAATTTTTATAGGTTCTCAAATTTCAGTAATATTATTTAAAAGTAGGTACCCCTAGAAAATGTACATGATAATTAGATGGAATGTAGTAGCAGTCATCAACGATATGGATCCGACTAACATTGGATCACAGTATAAAGAGTAATAGGTACTACTAGTGATACTACTCTTTATACTGTGTTTGGGTTATGGTGTAAGCAAATCCACACATTATTTAAAGAACCAAAAATATATTATAATATTGTGTTTTTGCTGATGTGTCGATTTTTCTTGTCTTATCAAATTAGCTATAGATCATTTTCTTGATAAAGAAATTAAAAGCATTAAAAAAAAATTTAATTAATAGAACAACTAGTTAAGTAATTATATATAATAATCAGTGCAGTCGACGTCTGACCAAATAAAATAAAATACACCGGTGTCAACCGGCAATTCAAAGATAAATGGTAACCACAACTTCAGATTAGCATTTAAGCTGACTAAATAATAACATGATTGTTGATTAATGATTATAGAACAAACTTGAAAACATTTCCAACATCAACAAAAATACTTCAATGTTGACAACCGCTTATCTTAGATTATCCTTCAATAACAATAACAATATAATACAATTGGGTTAAGTATAAATTAATTTAAAATAAATAATACTCACATTGTATCAAAAATGTTATTTTGCTATTAAATTGAAATCTTCATTATATTTTATTTTGCATATTTTTCTTGTTAAGTAATTTGAAGTTTTTTCATTACATACATCAATGATGAGGACATATTGATTTTTTAATTTGAATAATTACATCAATACATTCATAATTGATCCAAATATTAAAATTGAAATTCTGAAAAATAATTAAAACCTATTATTATTAAATATTAAAAATACATTTATAATATTTAAATTAATTAACTTACATTTTAGAATGTTGATGTTGGTATTATTTGTACTAACTGTAACAGTGATTCATTTGCACTGAATTAATTAATTGTGATAATAGAATATTTGCATATTTAATTTCCATACAGGTAATGTTTGGAACACAATATCTCCATAAAAACGCATCTATTTTAGTTATCAATCATATTCTGTATTCTTAGTCTTATACTATGATCAAAGTTCTGAAATTGGATTAAGACTTATTAATATTAAAATGTATAAGTACTAGGTTCCAAGTTAGATAGATAAGCTAACAGTTAAGAATAAGGCATTTTTCTATTGTTTTCTTATAAAAAAATTCGCAAGTACAAAATAGTTGATGAAAATAATATTATTCACTGATGAAACAGTACTATCATTACTGGAATAGTGGAATGGACCAAATCATAGCACTCAATGAATGTATACAAGGCTTCTACTATATTGTTACAATGGTATTTGAAAAATATTAAAAATCCTTGGTCACAGTTTTTTTATAAGCATTTAAAGTTCAAAAATTGACAAGATATGGAAAAATCACGAAAATTAGCAAATTATTTTGAGTTAAGAATTCGTAAAAATTTTTCTTTTTAAATCTAAGGTTTTAAAATGTAATACAAGATTCCTTATAAGATTATCTACCTTTGTCAAAAAAAAAAAATGTCTATAAGAAAGTCAAATTAAATTTTTATGAGCGTTTGAAATTCAAATTTTTACAACATTGGATATTCAGTCGATTTCTCATGTAGCGATTTCCTTATTTTGTTGTAATTCAAAAACGAATACTGTAGATACATGCAAATATCACTGAATATTAATATTAGCATTTTCTATACACCATACAATTTTGAAAATATATTGACTCTTTTTGAGCTGTTTACGGACATTTTCAGTTTCCAATTTTTTTTAGTTTTTTAATCTATAAAATATATCAATTAAGTTTTATCTGTTGTGCCAAAAAGTGTAAGAATTTAATACAAGGCTCCTTATATAATGTTACAATATCAGTTGAAAAATATTAAAAATACGTAGGCACAATTTTTTTTTTATAAGCATTGAAAGATTGAATTTTTACAAAATTTATCAAATTTAAAATTGAATAATTATTTTGTAGTTAAAAATCTACAAAATGTTCAACTTTTTTATCTAAGGATTGAAAATTTAAAACAAGATTACACTTAAGTAGTTAATTCTGTTACCAAAAAGTCTAAAAAATACATACTCCCAGTTTATTTTTATATTCATTTTAAGTTCAAATTAACCTAACCATAAAAAACCTAGAATAACTATTTTAGTTATTTTTTTGTTTATTGTATAATATTATTTGTTGGTACTTGAAACTTCTAAAGTACACTACTGTCACTACTATATACGTATCTATGGAGTATGGACTATGATAGTATCAGGGTTTGTTGTTGACGTATTATAAGTACCTAATGGATATTGTGATATGATTAATTTGGAATTTATTATAGGTACCTATTTTAGGTAAATTTTTTTTAATACGATAGATAAGTACATAATATTTCTTATACCTAGACGACATACCGTCTCCGCTCAGAATCGTTTTTCTTATGCAATGATAATATTATATCATTGAATTCAAATCTAATACTATCCATTATACAGTGGCACACTTGTAACCTACTGTACAGCAGAGCACCTTTTTTTGTTATTTGTGTTTGCTTTTTAAATACAAGTATAAAACTATTAATTTTCTTGAGAAACTTGATAGAACAAAATTACAACATAATTAAATAATTAAAACAAAAATACTGTTTATAGTAGCCCAAGACAGATTGAATATTATGTTTTACATATCATATTAAAATAATTTAAAGGAAATTTATATCCAATTTGGTTCGTTTTTTTTTTTTTTTAACATAAACTGTTTTTTTCGTCTAATTTATTTTTATAGTTCAAGATGTCAAATAGACAACCGGGTTCTTATTATTCTGAAAATTTATAAAATGTAGAATGTAGTTATTTTAGTATTATAGATACATTCAATCCATAAGCGATAATAAATTATCACTATTCCTTAGTCGTGTTATAATAATTATATTACAATTTTCAGTACATAATTACATTTTTGTTTCATTGTATTTTTTCCGTACCTAGGTAGATAATATTAAGTTTTGATTGTAACAAATATTAAAAAAGAAAAATGTATAATATTGTTCTTTTACCTACATAAAGCGTTTTATATTAAAAGTACGTAATGAATAGGTACCTACCTAATTTACATTATTGTTAATAAATAGTTCATACATGTTATTATTATCAATATTATTAATTCTAAACCTCAAACTTAGAAATATTGACCACAGATGCCATCTACTTTTCTTAGTATAACGCTTATTTAATTCAAATCGAATTGGAGAAATAACTTGATGTCGTGATGACCACCTGGTAGAGCAAACCTTTTTAAGTGTAACTACACCAACTGGTAAAATGTCAGTTAAAATTTCCCAACGTTTTCCACTTAACACAAAATAAACATACACTTTTTGGACGATTTCAAAAAAATTTTGTATCGTTTAAAACCAAGTTTAAATTATGTACATTATAGTGAATATACTCTGCAAGAGGACAATAAGCTTTTATTTTAATTTGAACTCCATTATAAACTCCAGCCATTACAGCTGCACCGTCGTAGCCTTGTCCTCGTAATTTACCGATATCTAATCCATCGCTTTTAATATTTTCTAAAATTTTATCGGAAAATCCTGATGCTGAATGATCATTTAATAAACAGTATCTAAGAAATGATTCTTCAATTCTAAGTTTAATCGGTTTATTATCTTCGTTTTTTTCAATGACTACGTAACCAATTATTTGACTCATTTTATCTTGTTTTCTAATGTCTTGCGTGGTATCAGTTATATACGAGAAAAAAGGAACTTTTTGGACGTCAGAAATAATAGATTTTTTCATACATTCGGCAAGCATATCAACTATCTCATTTTGTATCGTGGGACTTCATAACTGACTTTTTTAGGTCCTCGTAGTAAAAGTTTTGATAATACAGGATCATATTTCGCAAGAAGATCAATGACTGCTAAAAAGTTACCACGGTTTTCGCTGTTGATTTTTTCATGATAGCCTCTAAATGATAAATTTTGAATCCCCAACGTGAATGTTACATTTATAATACATTTTATTACTTGTCTCTAAAATCCAACTTCTTTGTTATTTTGAGATTACTTAGATAATGCATTATTTTTTTCCCATCGGTCTGCAGTAAGACAAGCATTTATATGAGATAAACTTTTTTGATGAAATTTAATTTTTTCCGATATATGTTTCCAATCGTTAATACCATTAGTCCACGAACTCGACGTACAAAATAACCAACATGGTTGACAGTAAACTAAATCAAACGATTTTGAATAACAAATCCATTTACGATGTAAACTTACACCGCCTTGACTTTTTGCGTAATAATATTCAGTAGAAAATAAACGATTTTTATTACCAATCATTTTTTTCGGAAATGGACCATCTGGTTGGCATGATCCTTTAGAAATAATAAAACTTTTATCTGAAGTATTCAATGGACTTGTAAATAAGGCTTTGTCATTTGAATAATCTCCTAAGGTTATCGAATGTATCGCCTCTGATAAATCGAAATTTATTGAACATTCATTTTCAACATTTACATTATTTATATAAATAGTCGTTGATTTGGAATTTTCTTGAATGTTAGGAATTTGAATAGGTAGGTACTTGAAAATACTTGAAAATCGATATTAAGATTACGTTGTACCCGCATGTTTTGTCTCCGTCTTTTTTTTTTTTTTTTTTTTTTCGTTTGAACCGACAGCAGAGGAGGATCTGTGTGAACACTACTATGTCTCCGTCTTACATATTTCAGCTATGCTTATATCCAATAACTTTATTGAAAATGCTGTGTTACCGTATGGTAATATTGTATTCCGGTGAATTTTTATACAAGGATTTTTATTCTGAATTTCGATTTTTTGTAGCCTAAAAGGTACCATCAAATTCCCCATTCATAGTTGTCGAAGTGGGAAATCGATTAAAACAATTTGTATTCATAAAATTGTTCATGTATAATTTTGTTTCAAATACTATTGCAATTCTAATCTCAATTCTCAACAAATAATTTCCAAACATTGTTATTAGGCATGATCAAATTGTCGATTAAACATTAAACATTTTGCCCGTCAATATTTTATGAAACGAGTTTTTTCATTAATTATGAAATTTTAAAACAACTTACACTAAAAATAAACATTCAAAGCATTTTCAATATAATTTAGGTAATATATTTAATTATTCTACACCCAGGATAAAAATGTTAGATACTAAATTAATTAAATTTAACATAAATAGGTTAGAACCATAGTTGTTAGAACTCATCAGAACGATGTTTTGGATGTATGTACCTATATTGTATACATTATGAGAGGTATACCTATACCTATAGAAATTGTGGGTAGGTACTAAACGAAAATGAAATATGAGGTTGGTTAATATAATGAAGCGAATTTCTGCAGGGAACTATAATAATAAGTATTGTATATAATATTATATTATACCTATATGTTACCGTCAATGTCGTAAATTCAGGTAATGATGATATTGACTAGCCAATTAATATAATGCCTGGGTAACTTAGTCATTATCTATAATCAACATATATTTGTAACATTGACTTGATAAATCAGACGATGTTATAATTTGATAAATTCACTAGTTATTATAACATATGCTATCGTCGTGTAGTCAATGTTATCTTTTATCGTTTTAACTTTAAAAACCCACGTTAAGATTAGGTATCTGTTTTATAACGAATAATAATAGGTATCTTTTATAGTTTTAATACTCACGGCAAAAACATTTTTAACTAATTAATTAATTAAATATTTTATATTATTATTATCGTTTTCGCATTTTTTTTAAACTTAACCACATTTATTATTTAAATAGGAATTGGCAGATCACCGTATGAGGCGATGTTTGGGTGTCCCGTAAGACTTGGTGTAGCGTCAGTTGGATTTCCACTCGATGAAACCACTAATTTAAAGCAAGAAGAAGATATTGAAGAAATTGATAATGATATTAATATTAGACAAAAGACGATATTGAAAATAATCTTGATGGAGTTCAACTAACCAACAATGAGCATTTAAGTGAGTCAATCTGTGATTCAAATTAATTAATTATTCCAAAATATAAATACAATGATTGATAATTTATTTTTAAATTTTAGTCAATATCAGACAAGACGAAATATTGAATGAAAGAAAATTATCTGCAAAATGCTTGGAAAATCAGGCCAAAAAAATGATTAAAAAATCTAATAAAAAATTTGAAGATCTTGAAGTAGGGGTAAATGTTCGAGTTTCAATTCCCGATGTTGATCGAGCTAGAGGTTCACCACGAAATGTGTTGGCTGTCATCATTAGTATCGAAGATAACATGTATAAATTAGGTATGCAAATTTCAAATTAAATTTAAATTTAAAATAATAAAAATATATTTTAGGAACAGAAAACGGTATTCTCAAACATTTATACACAAGAACGGAAATTTTTCCTTGCAAAGAAAAATTTATTCTTCTCGAAAACGTCTTAAAATTATCTGCCGAAAAAGAAATTACACTCCGTGAAGCGGCTGGAGTCAACAGTGTTATGGGAACTCAAGGATTTCAACGGTGCCACTGAAAAACAAAATGCAAAACAAATAAATGTACTTGTAGATCTAATAACCGGCTTTGTACATCGAAGTGCCATAACAGCTTATCATGCGAGAATAAGTGATACCCATACGTCATAATCAATAATCAACATACAAGTATTAAAATAATAATTATTATGAAAAAATTAATTTTTTCTTATATTTTTTTTTCATTGTTTATTTTTAAATAGTAAATATAATATATTATATCTAAAATTATCAATGGCTACATAGTTTTAGTCAATAATGACAATGACTGGTCAATCATAGAAATTATGTATTAATATTAAATTTGTTCTATTATTGTCTATCTTAGTTAGGTATTCTCTAAAATGACTAGCCAATAATATCAATGCCTATGTAAAACAGTCAGTGTTAACATAGACTAGTCATTTTTAACAATACCTAATTATCATCATTGGTGGTAACATATACAAAACACAGTTGTCATATTTTGTCATCTTGTAATATTGTAAACAAAAAAAAAAAAATGCCAAAAGAGTACCTACCTACTTATTTAATACGCAGTAAACATAACATAACACTTGACATGACGAACATGACAATGATTGTAAATATATACCCACCTAAACAAATATCAGCTATTATAACTGTATAATGTTAGGTATATTATAATTAAAAGTCAAATAACAAACCTAATAACCATAATAGTCTATAGATAAATATATGCCAAAAGGTAATATTATGTGGGCATGCGGTACCCGAAGGTAATAATATTACATTAACAAACGTATATTGCATTATAATATATTATGATAATATTCTAAATCTGAATCTAGGAAGAAAAATCCCCTTAATAAAAACCCCCGGATAAGAAATCACCAAAGCTATACTCCTATACCCAACCGTACTGTTGGGTACAGTTGTCAAAAATAATAAAAAAGGTGCTTTGCTGTACAGTTGATTACAATAGTGGGTAACTGTTTAATGGATGATATTAAATTTGAATTCAATGATATAATATCATTGCATAAGAAAAACGATTCAGAGCGGAGACGGTATGTCAGTCTAGGTATAACTGTATAAGACATATTATATACATATCTATGGTATTAAAAAAAAATTGACCTATAATATTTACCTCTAATAAATTCCAAATTAATCATATCACAATATCCATTAGGTACTTATAACGCGTTAAACATCAGCAACAAAATAACTAAAATAGTTATTCTAGGTTTTTAATATGTAATTTCGTCCCAATTTGAACTTAAAATGACTATAAAAATAAACTGTGACTGCGTATTTTTTAGATTTTTTGGTAACATAATTAACTACTTACGTGGAATCTTGTTTTAAATTTTCAATCCTTAGATATAAAAGTTAAATATTTTATATATTTTGAACTACAAAATAAATATTCAGTTTTAAATTTGATACATTTTGTCAAAATTTGATCTTTAAATGCTTATAAAAAAAAATTGTGGCTATAAAATATTTTCAATATTTTTCAACTGATATTGTAACAATATATCAGGAGCCTTTTATTAAATTTTTACACTTTTTGGATAACAGATAAAACTTAATTGATATTCATAGAAAAAAAAACTAAAAAAATTTAAAAATGAAAATGTCCGTTAACAGACTCTTAAAAGAGTCAAAATATTTTCAAAATTGTATGTTGTATAGAAAATGCTAATATAAACATTCAGTGAAATTTTCATGTATCTACAGTTATTCGTTTTTGAATTACAAGAAAATAAGGAAATCGCTACATGAAAAAATGAGTGAATATCCAATGTTGTAAAAATTTGAATTTCAAACGCTCATAAAAATTTAATTTGACTTTCTTATAGACATTTTTTTTTTTTTTGATAAAGGTAGACAAACTTATGGGGAATCTTGTATTACATTTTAAAACCTTGGATTTAAAAAAAAAAAATTTTACTAATTTTTAACTCAGAATAATTTGCTAATTTTCTTGATTTTTCCATTATTTGTCAATTTATGAACTTTAAATGCTTAGAAAAGAAATCTGTGACTAAGGATTTTAATATTTTTAATCTGCCCTTGAAACAATATAGTAGGAGCCTTCTATTCAATTTTCAAGCTTTTTCAGCCAACAAATAAAATTTTATTGATATCTTTAGAAAAAAAACTAAAAAAAAAATGGAAAATGAAAATGTCCCTAAACAGTTCAAAATAAATCAAAATATTTTGAAAACGTTAAAATATATAGAAAATGCAAATATAAACAACCAGTGAAAATTTCAAGTGTCTACGGTCATTTGTTTTAAAGTTACATCAAAAATCAAATTCAATTTTGTGAAAAATCGATTTTGAGTAAAAATTCCCGTTTTTCCTTAATTTTTCTTTTGTTACTCTTGTCACTTGTGAAAACTATTGGGAATTTTATATTTTGACCTCCCAAAAGTACCAACTAGATTCACTTTCCCATCGAACAAGTTACTGAAGTTGAAAATCGAAGCATTATTTCGACTACTAATAGTGTACACAGTCACAAAAAAAAAAAAAATTAAAAATTAAAAAAAAAAACACACATCATTGTAAAATCAATACATTCATCGTTCCACTCAGAATCTAAAATATATAGGTACAATTTGAATGATGATTATTAATATATTATTATAATATTGATAAAAAGGTACATATTATATTATAATATGATATTGCTGTATAAAATATAAATATTTATTTATAAACAGATAGGTATACAATGCCCTTTGGTAATAAAACGTAAAGTACAGCAAGTTGAATCTCTATTTGACAAATATTATACTGAAATTAAATCATATTACATTATAAATGAGTTAATATTTTTAAAATAACTCGTATTCCTGTTTATGAATCCTAACATATCTTAAATGATTTTTTAACTAAGGTATTAATAATATGTTATATAGGTAGGTACTATAATAATTATCAATTTTATAATTAAACTTCGGGAAAATCGCTACATGCTAGGCATGAGAAATCGAGAGAATATCAAATGATGTAAAAATTTAATTTGACTTTCGGGTAGATATTTTTTTTTGATAAAGGTAAACATACTTATGAGGAATCTCGTTTTAAATTTTCTAATGTTAGATTTAAAAACAAAATTTTTATGTATTTTTAACTCAAAAAATTTGCACATTTTCGTTATTTTTACGTAATTTGTCAACATTTGAACTTTAAATGCTCATAAGAAAAATTGTAACTGTATACTTAATATTTTTAAAATTTCATTATAATAATATATATTAAAAGCCTTGTATTAAATTTTCAAGCAATTTTACACAACAAATTTTTATTGGCAATCATAGAAAAAAACTAAAAAAATTGAAAATGTATTATGTCAGTAAACAGCTCAAAACAAGTCAAAATATGTTGATTGTATTAAAAAATTAATGCAAATATAAACATTCAGTGAAAATGTCATGTATCTACGGTTATTTTTTTTAGAGTAACTTACACCCAAAACCAAAATTGATCTTGTCGAAAACTGATTTTACTTAAATTTTCCAACATTGGATATTCACTTGATTTCTCATGTAGTGGTTAGTTATTTTATTGTTATTCAAAAACGAAACTGTAGTTACATGAACATTTTAATGATGTTATATTTTCATTTTCTATACAACATAACATTTTGAAAATATTTAGACTCCTTTTGAGCTGTTTACGGACATTTTCAGTTCCATTTTTTAAATTTTTTATTCTATAAATATCAATAAAGTTTTATCTGTTGGGCAAAAAGTGTAAACATTTAATGCAAGGCTCCTGATATATTGTTACATATCATTGAATAATATTAAAAATAAATAGGAGCAAATTTTTTTTATAAGCATTTAAAGATCGAATTTCGACAACATTAATCTCGAAAATTATCAATCATTGTAATTAATAAAATTTTATGTTCTCTTCTTAAAAAAAAATTATACATAGATTTTGAAATTGAATTATTGGACATTGCTTATAATAATATTATTGCTATTACTACTATTCTCATTGTGTAAGACAAAATGTATGAATTTATAATATATTCTATAATGTTAATTAAAAACTTATCCATTAACTTAAAGTTCATTTTTCTCTGAAGGTAATAACAGTAAAATTGTACGATTGGATACTGAAAGTTTTAAGCAAAGTCTTATTGAACCTGCAGATGTAGTAAAGGTGGATGATTTTAATAGTGAGTTATTTATCTATTATGTTATAATACTGTAATGCTGTATTTTTTTTTTTTTACAACTATAATAATTAATAAATAATGTTATTAACTTGAATTTAAATATTGTAATGATTTAATTATAATTCAATGTGTTATATAGTTGACTGCATTTATTGATGTACTTAATTTTAATTTTTTCAAGGACTCAATGATTATGTTAGAACATCATTTACCAATTTAAAATATGATATTAAACATTTGGTATATGTATCAGAATCAATTAAGAAAATGCACGAAAATGTTAACAATATCTGCTCAGAACTGTGTGTGACAAAAAACTCTAATTTAACTGCTGTATCTGTATTAAACAATGAAACCCCCCCTATATCTAACGAAGAAACTATAAACAATTTTGAAATGTTACTCGAATCTTCTGCTTATAGAGATAAATTTGTAAGTATCAACATTTAGATATCAATTTAGCATATTACTTAATTTCAAAATTGTATGTTATTTGCTTATCTTTTTGGTTTCAGAATTATCACTTTTAGTCGGAAAAACTATTCCTGAAACCATAAGACGCATGATGCAAAAACTATTTTTCGATGATTGGTTACTCAATTACTCCTATATTGGATTTAAAGGCAAAAACAAATTTTCTTCTTTGCACTCGTGTAAAATAATATTTGGTGAGAGTTGATAATTTTTTACTTTCTGATTGTAATATTTATTTATATCTATGTTTAACTATCTATGTTATTAGAAGCTGTTCGAAGCTGTTCAAAGTTTGAAAAAATTCCTGATATGGGAATAGCACTTAGAATATGCAAGTGGATGGCTCGAGCCACTAATCGCATTAATAAAAAAACTAAAGAAAAATTGTAAATAACATTATAGTGTACTGTTTTAACATGAAAAAAATAAACTTTAAAATAAAAATTTTTAAATAAATAAAAAGATTTGTATGGCATTTTATAGTTACTCTTTGAAATATGATTGATTTGGATTTTAAATTATTGAGTAATAATTAGTAGTACAGTACAATCTCGCTATGACAGAATCGCCTAGGCCCGTCCAATTTTTCCATCTTAACGGAGTTTCTGACTTGATAGAGGGCTCACATTCTTTATTTATTTGAATCGCGACCAAAGAAATTATTCTTTTTATCGTTTTCTAATCTTACAGAAGTTCTGTCTTACCATAGTTTTACTGTATACAAATTGATTGTGGATATAGAAATTAAAATGGTTGTTGATCAGTAAAAAAATAATGTTAAAACCTTAACTTAAATTGGATTGTGTCCAAATACGTAATAATTAACTATAATGTGAACAATATTTGGATTTTATTAATAACTTCAAAACTAAAAATTAAATTAAGGTGAACTGAGTTCCATTATGAGGTGAATAAATTGATAATATATTAATACATTTATTAGTGTACTTACTATGGTTTGTAAGATTAAGGCATATACATAAAATAGAATATAGTTTAATATAGTAGTAACTGTAGTAGGTACTCAATTATATAGCTACAAGCATCAAATAATGAATTGTCTCATTAAATATTTGAGTACATTTAGAAAAAATATGTTAACAATAATACATTATTATTGTAAAAATATGTTTAATTACATGTTTCTGAAATATATTACTTAACTATATCCTAGAAATCTGTGGTACCACATATTATTAAAATATCTTAAAAAACATAATTCCACAATATGGAATTTTCTGCCACGAGTCGTTGTCACAATATTGCTTCATTATTGTTAACACTTAAATCACATAATTAAAACACAAATTTAAAATATTTTTGTGTTCACAGAAAATATTGATAACATATATGTAAAATATTGTAATGCTGTCTGGGTTAAAACTAGATCTGTTGGAACTTTGCTGTTCGTTTTCCATTTTCAACTGAACAGAAATCGTCAAGAATTTATTATGTAATATTTACCTGATTAATAATGGAAAAATTAAAAATTATTTAACCAACAGGTCTAGACACTAGCATCAACTATGGTGTACCTACTACCTATTACCTACTACCTGGTAGAAATGCAGTGTGCGAATTGAACACACGACGTACCTAAGGGTTATGATCGCTGCAGAAGTGCAAATCAAAGTTTGGTATCTTTAATTACTCGAGTATAATATTTCCCGAGTAGAATAATTTGACATTTATTATTAATTATGATAATAATATAATATTATGATTTAAAACTAAATATATTATTAGTATAATATTATTATAATATTAGTAACATAATAAATAATCAAGCTCCCGGGTCTTCGTTAATATTGTTCAAGTATTTAGTTAAAACCGATGTTATTTATTATCTAATATATGTGATAAATATGAATATTTTGTGAATAAATAGATGCATAAAAACATTATATAATATGCTGAAGTGTGTTTTTATTACTTATGTATACCTTTTCCTACTCCATACGGCCATCTACCATCATAATAAAAAATGTATTTAATATTATTTCACCTTTTTGTCTATAATAAAGTTTGTTAACTGGCTTTTTAAGCAAATTGTTGTTCCCAATTAATTTTGTTTTTATAAATAAAAATGGCCAACTGCATGTTGGTAGCTCTTTAAATAGCTCTTCCATATTGTTTGCAAGGTTGTAAGTTATGACAGAGTTCCAAAGTCGCAAACTTATCGTGCAAAATGCTTTGATGCATGTGGTGTAATTGAGAATACAGTGAAAGATAAGTAAGTCAGTGCATAGTACTATTTTGTATTTTTATTTAATGAAGGCACAAAAAAACATTACAATAATTAGTGCGATAGCACGAGTTTGTTCAAAACATTTCTCGCCAAATGCGATGAAAGAGAAACCCTTAATACAAATTAAGGCAGGATATTCTCCTTGTAAGAGTAAAAAACTTAAAGCTGATACAGTGCCTACAAAATATCTAACTCCACGGAAGGTAAGTATTTAATATTTTATTATAATAAAAATGTGAGGTTAAGGCAAGATTAGAAATATCCTAAATGATGCCCATTACATAATAGCTGTAGACAAAATATTAAGAAAGAATATATTTAAAAAGTTTTTCGAGTGGTTGTGACTAATTAATTTCCAGAATATAATTATGGATTCATATTTTTATTATTACTATAAAGTTAATAAATTACAATCTCTTGTTGTAGCATATTGGCAATCGTTCTCTTGCCAATGTGTTAAACCGTCTCTTATTATTATCATGGCCGATATTGATGCGGCTACTCTAGGTGGCACAAGTGCCAAACCGACACCTGGTATCATAGCCGCAATAGATAGCCCTACACTAGTTGTCTTGATCACAGTGGTTGCCGTCGCTGTCTTATCCACGATTTCAAAACATTTTTTGTAATCTGCATGATCTTTATTCATAGAATCCTTCATTTCTTCAAATCCTTCCTTCAATTGAACAGCGAAGTTAGTGGACGCCATAGCATGTCCAGGTGATATAATTGCAGCAGTAAATGGTATTGCGCTCAAGCCTGCCATTATTGAGAAGCTCGTTTCATGGATGATTAAAGAGGTTCGTAAGTTATCAATTTGATCATCATTTCCACAGAATGTGGACACATTGCGTGAAAATAATGATATTAATAAAGATATGTAAAGAAACAGAGAATTTATTGTTTTCATTTTTAATTGGCACGTTTTTATTGGTTGTGTAAATATCCCAAAAGGTATTCCTGAGTACTAACGAGTCGCAATGTGTCTGGTGAGCGTCTGTAAGCATACAATACATACAATATGTAATATATGTATAATAAGTTAATCCGTCAAAAAATCCTTTTTGAAAAGTTGGACAAAAAGTCTAAAAATACAAATTAATATTCTATTAAATTTAATATTTATTTAAAAAATGGAATTAATTTTATTATTATCACATTATATTTGAATTTGATTTTTATGATTTAGAATAGATGTTATTCATGATTTGATGGAAGACTGTGATAAATACATTAACAGTTTTAGTTTAAAAGCAACTTAAAAGAATTAAAACTACTTCCCTTAATATAATTAAACGACAGAAAATTTGCTTTCGATTATGGACCAGAACACAACAAACAATGCATGAGATACATGGGGCATATAAATGTAGGGGAAATTAAACAATCGGCACCTGAAATGTTATAATTCATCAGGTATTTTGGGTTTAATTATTGGTGATTTTGTGCCAATAAGTGAGCCAATTTGGGATATTTATTTATTAGAGGCTTAGATATTGCATTGTCAACATCACTCGAAGTAAATATTTATTTATTATCGGAGACTGTAGTAGGAGAAATGAAAGAACTTTATTTAAAATTTGGTAAAAATTTACAGCTTACTCATTATTCCTCTATGAAAAAAATTATGGTCCTGTAAGAATTTCAAACATACCAGCAAGAACCTCTTTTTACACATGTGATATTTGCATGAGTTTGGCTCTAAAGCAACAATTTTAGTTGAATTAAATATTTAATAAGGGAAAATTTTGTAGCACAATTAATGTTAGAACTAGGAAAATATTTTGGTTCCTACAACAATACTTTTTTTCTAGTGTACTAGTTTTATACTTATTACTTACGTACTGCTTACATAATATAATTTTATTTCATATACAAATTTAAAATAATAGTCAATATAAGAGTAAGTTCAAAAATATATAAGAAATAATCTTTCTTTTAAATATTTTTATATTATATAATATATGCCGGAAAAACCGTCTTTGCTCGGAATCATTTTTTGTATGCAATAATTTTACATAATTGAATTCAAATTTAACACCATCCATTATAGTGACCCACTTGTAACCTACTATACATCAGAGCGACACAAATTTACCCTGATTTTTTTTATTAATGTTTTATAATATTTGAAGAAGCCAAAGTGTTTATAATTTTTCTTTAGAACTTTGATTTTGATGTTTATTGAAACTATTTAAATTTATTGTTCTGAGTAAATGTATGTATTACAATTAATTGCTATAAGTAATAAGCCAATACGATATATAACAAAATAATTATTTTTATTAATTTTTTTAACTAATGGGACACAATGCTAAATTAAAATTAACAAATAATTATCAAAATGTATTAAATAAATATTAATTATATATTAAATGCCCATTTCGCCGTATCCTACATGAATCCAACAAATGAGACCAAAAACAAAACAGTTTGTATTTCGTCGTATCAGTCGCATCGTATTGCGACGGAACAGCATGGTCAGAATAGAAATCGTCGGATTTACGTAGTACACGACGTATATATAATGGTATGTAACCTACCTATTACCTATATAATATAATGTAATATAATTATTATAAATAAAAATGCAATAGAATATCTAGTATTTTTAGACTTTTTGTTCGAAATAAAAAATGTGTTAGGACTTTTTGCCCGACAATCAAAAAATAAAACAGTACTTTTCTGAGTGGATACTTTGTCACTGGACTTTTCACCAGGGATTCGAATAAAAATGTAGTAGCGATATGATCACATAATACGTTTGATGAAAATAACTTATATATGTTTAAAACTTACTTAATATTTAGCAATTTTACGAAATTTGATTCGAAACCGTTATGTATTCACGATGTTTCTGGTCTACGTCTTCTAGCTGTAAACACAAATCTGTTATGAATTATATAATAATGTAGTAGCGATATGAGCACAGAATACGTTTTATAAAAATAACTTATATATGTCTTAAACTTACTTAATATTTAGCAATTTTACGAAATTCAATTCAAAACCGTTATGTATTCACGATGTTTCTGGTCTACGTCTTCTAGCTGTAAACACAAATCTCTTATAGGTTAGGTTTCGGTTTTTTTCCAATTCGATAGACGATTTTTGTATTCTGGCCAATCAGAAAATTACAAAGACCTGATATCAAGGGAGAAAAAAAAATTATGTCAATTTAGACGAGCCTACAAATGCCATAGATCCGGTGGTAAGTATTACTGTTGCGGAGCCACTGTTCATGTATTCGGTGATAAGATAACATTCAAATAATTACCGCGTGAATTTAAATATTATAATCATTATTATTAATATAAGTAAATAATAAAATTGAGTATTGTAATTTTTATATCCTAAATCTAAATTATTATACTTACCTATACTTAAAAAAAAAAATGTAATAATGAAAATTCTAACACGTCCTACAAAAAAAAAAAAAAAGATAATAATAATAATAATTTATTAAACTTTATCTATATACATTGTCCATGTATAGGAATTCCCGCGTTGTATATAATTGTATCTTTAATAGTTTAATATCAATGATCTTTATTACAATCAAGATAAATTTGAATTATTCATTATTATGAATTATGTTCTGGTAATGAACTGTAAAAAAAAAGTAACAAACAATATTGAATTAAAATTAATTATATTAATTTTATGTTGTATTATATTTTTGTAGGAAGTATTAGATAAAGTTTAATAAATTATTATTATTTTTTTTTTTTTCGTAGGACATGTTAGAATTATTTTTACATTTTTTGTTATAAGTATAATAATTTAAATTTAGGATATAAAAATTACAATACTCAATTTTATTATTTACTTGTATTAATAATAATGATTATAATATTTAAATTCACGCGGTAATTATTTAAATGTTATCTTATCACACACGTAGATATCGAATTAATGCATGAACAACAGTGGCTCCGCAACAGTAATACTTGCCACCGAAACTATGGCATTTGTAGGCTCGTGTCAATTTAGTGACAAGGACCAGTGATGCAGGGTTTGATACAATCAAATAATTGTAAAAAAAATTGTGCCCATCAACTGCTATTTATCAGGAGTCTTATATTCAATTTTGGTGGGTTTTGGCCTACCAAATTACATTTTATTGATAAAAAAAACTAAATAAATTGAAATTTGAAATAATTGTCCTTAAACAGCTCAAAACAAGTCAAAATATTATGAAAATGTAATCGAGTATAGGAATTGTGAAATAATCATATGATAGCAATCTAAAGTGTCTACGGTTATTTGTTTTTGAATTACTACAAAATAAGAAAATTGCTACATAAGAAATAGAGTAAAAATTTAAATGCTTAAAAATATTTAATCTAACTATCTTATTGAAATTTTTTTTTGATATAGATAAATAACCTTTAAAGGAATCTTGTATTACATTTTAAAATCTTAGATTTAACTTTTTAAAACTACTATAAAATGTTTACTTTTGACACCTACAAAGTAAAAACTAGATTCACTTTCCTGTCAGACAAAATGCTGTTATTGTTAAAAAAAAAATGAAAGAACTTGTACTGTCCTAAAAGGTGATGGCAGACACAAAAAAAAAATTTAATTAAAAAAAAAACACACATTGTAAAATCAACATTTATAGCCCCACTCAGAATCTAAAATTTGAGAAATTAAGAAAAAAAAATGTCTAGTCAATGGGGGCAAATAAGTATTTAGGTAAGTTATTAATATAACTATTACCATTTTTATTATTATTTAATTATTGTATACTAGCTGATCCCGTGCACTTCGTTGCCCGTTAAATGTATCAACTCTATACGACTCCAACTTGAATATAATTGATATTTAATTAGTTAAGCAAATATATTTATTTTATTATTATTATTATTATTATTATTATTATTATTATATAGCTTAAAAACCCATGGCAACCATTTATAAACAAAAATTTCCATCTGAAGTCTCAAAATTCACGTTTCAAATTAATACAAATTATAGATAATGAAATTCATTAAAGAGATATTTCATACAAATGTTTAAAAAAATTATTATTTTGAATGAATTGTAATAACACTTTAAACTATACCTAATTGTATATCTTATATAATTTTTGTATGTAAAAATATTTTATTATTATGTAATTATCATAGTTCACAAATTATATTAAATTATAAAGTCTTTACTCTTAAGAGTATATTATTCAGCAAATTGATCACACTCCTCATTATTTAAAGTGGTTAGAACTTGATGATGTGTAGTGGAAACAAGTTTTGGTGACCAATACTGGACATAATTTAGCACAAAGTAAATTGGTTTCATAAATAAATCTATAGATATAAGAAAAAGTAATCCGACATAGTTCCAATAATAAAACAAAAAAAAAACTATAATATGTTCAAGTCTATCTTTAAAAGGATAGTTATACTTCTGGTTCAAATTGGCCTAAGTTAAAAAGTCCTTAATTGAATAAAAATAATTGTAACGACATTATTGATTTGAGTTAGGATTGAGGGAGTAGATATGGACTACGTCATTCTGAATTCTGAACTAGCAGTCATGTATAAATAAATATAATTTACTTTATAGAAAAATCATGTTAAAATAATTCTGACATTTTATTATAATTTCTTAATCTGTTACTGTTTCACTGACATAAAAATATAGTGCATAAATATACATAGCAAAATAAATTATTGTTAATATTTATACTGTTGTTAATTGTAATGTAATTACAATTCATAGTGAATTATTTCTTAAAAATTAAATTAATTTTCTAATAAAATTGACTAATATATTTTTTTTTTTATATACAATCTGTACCTTGTATAATATAATTGTATAGTACTGTATATAGTATAATACAAACTCACATCTCTCTTCCTATGCAGTGACTTCGAGGCATCGTCCAGTATTTTTTTAGATGAG